AAAAAAAAAAAAAAAAAGAATATGTTCAAGTTTTTGAGATTTATCAACAATATATATTTAATACTATCTGTAAAAACTAACATTTCGCCTTCTTTCTGCTAGGTCCAGAATTTTTTTTCAGATTAAAATGAAAACACAAAACTTGAAAAGTCTTAAAAGTTTGAAGTCTATAGACTCGTTGTGACATATGCTGAAAGGCCGGTACAGTCACCAAGAAGCCCAGTCCACAAGGCATAAGCGGTCACTGAGTGGTGACCCTTACCATGTCCTCTGGGAGGGGACTTTGTCTGGCCTGCTGTCATCTCAACGGGAAACACGCACACTCCTGTAACACTGGGAGACGCTAGTCTTTGAGAAACAAAACCCCTGACTTTAATTATGAAACATGACTTATTAACAAATGGAGGTCGAATAGATCACAATGACTGCTTTAGAAAAAGAATCACTGGGGCTGGGGATTTAGCTCAGTGGTTTCGCCAAAAGTTCAATTTGCCATTTCCTGTTAGAGCTGTCACACAAGGGTCACAGAGGGGAAGTTAACATCACACAAGAATCTTCAGCAAATGCTGATTTCTTTTTGGTACCAGAGATCAAACTGAGGACCTTGTGCTTTTGAGGCAGGTGGTAGAACCACTGAGCTAAATCCCCGGCCCAATGCTGATTTTTTTCCCCCCAATCCTAGGTGTTGAACTCAGGACCTTTCGCTTGCTAGGCAGGCGCTGTGCTGCTGAGCTACATCCCCAGCCCTGGCCAAGAGTCTTTGGGATCAGGGAGAGTACTTGTAGGGTGCCTGCTCACCATCTCTGAGAAGTGTAAACTGATACTTTGGGTTTACTCACCACTCTGAACTGTTCTAGCTTTTGGTTGCCTTTGATAAAGAAAGGGCATTCTTTGTCACCTGTTCGGTGACCATACCGTTTGCAACGCCAACCTAAAAACAAAGAAAAAAAGAAACACTTCTATAAAATAAGTTTCACCTGAGAGGCCACTTCAGTAGATTAACATTTTTCTTCATTAGACAGCAACTATATAACCAAATGCAACCAGTGGACTGGTTCCCTAAGCATCCCTGACTACTGAAGTTTGAGGACTATTCCATCATCCCGTATGGATGAAGCGTCAGCGCAAAAGTATTGCAAAAGGTCAATTTTTTTTGTTTTTCCTGGTACTGGAAATCTATCAAACTCAGGATCTTGTGCTTGGCAGGCAGGCACGGTGCCACTGAGCTACATCTCTGGCCCATGTTCAATTTGTTTTTGTATGTCTCACTGTATTTTTTACCAAGGATCGAACTCAGGACCTCGAGCTTGCCAGGCAGGCGCTATGCTGCTGAGCTAAATCTCTGGACCTGTCTCAATTTTTTTTTTTTTTTGGGTACTCGGGATTGAACTTGGGACCTTGAGCTTGCGAGGCAGGTGGCAGAACCACTGAGCTAAATCCCCAGCCCTGTCTCACTGTATTTTTGAGAGTAAATCTTTTCCACTCATCAAGGGACTGATTCTCATTTATAAATCTGGGAACAAGAACAAGTAGCTTCTTCTTTCTTAGGTTGAATCAACGACTGTACAAATCCCTCACTTTCAAGTAAAGAAAACTACCAGTTCTCTTACAATGTTAAAGCCACCAGAATACCAGTGTTAAGTTTACCTGCAGAATAGGGAAACTGTCTGCCTGCAGAGGCTTATGATCAGGGTAACAAGGCTGGCCCCGACCAGGGAGCATGAGGGAGATGTAAACACGTCAAGGCCACATGGAGAAATGATGTCTCCAAGGGACACCAATGATATGGCATCAAGCTCCGGGGAAAGGGACAAGGAACGAAGCCTTCCCACCTGTGTCCATCCTCCCAGTCCCATCTGGACATGGAGCAAATCAGAACAGTGAGCCAGGTGAGAGCTTGTGCTTGGGTACTGATCACCCTCAGGAAGCAGGAGAGGCTGCAGGTCAGATCAGCGAATGTGGTTTGTATTGGCAACTACAGAAAACTTGCACTGTGCTGAGAAACAGCTCGGCAGGGCAGCACATGCCTATAATCCCAGCTACTCAGGCAGGAGGAGCACAAGTTGAAGACCAGCCTGGGCAACTTAAAGGAACTCCGTCTCAAAATAAAATTAAAAATGGCCGGGGATAGAGCTGAGTGGTGAAGTGCTGGCCTAACATGTAAAGCCCTGGGTTCAATCCCCAGTAGTGCAAAAAAGGGAGAATTTTCCCTTTTTACTGGTGGGCAGATGCAGGAATTATTGAAAAGAAGAAGTGTGAGGAAGGACACAGTCCTATAAACCAGCGTCCGTCTCTGTGGTAAAGTGGAGTGGGTGTGAGGAGCTGTAACACTGGGTGCAGATGTCTAAGGGAAGCCGCCTGCTACAATGTCTAGCAAGGCCCACAGCAGTGATGGCGCCAGATGTAATCATACACTCCCACGGCCCACAGGAATACCAATAAATAACTGAATTTTAAAAGATGTAAAAAATAAATAAATAAAAAATAAAAGATGTACTGGGGGCTGAGTGGTTGCATGCTTGCCTGTGTGTGTGGCCCGGGGTTTGATTCCCCAGCACCGTGAAAAATAAAACAATAAAAAAAATTGTACTGGCCGGACAAGGTCCTGGGCTTGATCCCCAGGACCACAAAAGATAAATACTGGTGGTTTGTAGATGCATCGGAGTTTCAGAATCAGTTTTCTAGTTAACGCCCGAGTTCCTGAACTCAATGCAAGCGCGCTTGCGCGTGTGTGTTCCCATCTGGGAGGGACCTGGGTTCAATCAGGCCTCTATCATGTGGCAGGAGGAAGGAGCAGGAAAGGCTGTCTAGGATCCACAAACAAAGCTATCCCAACTTGGAACTCCACACATGTGACCACGTGAACACACTACTTGAAAGGAACGAGTCAGGGAGCCACAGCTTAAGCCTCATTAACTTCTGATAAGAATGAACCGTGAGGGCTGGGATGCAGCTCAGCAGGAGGACACTTGCTTAGCACATGACAGGCCCTGGGTTCAATCCCCAGCACTGGAAAAGAGAAATGTGAAATCGCACGTGAAATGCAATTAACTACATCTCAACACAAAACACTACTGGGGACTGAAGGCAGGGCCTTCACACCGAGCTGCATCCCTAGCTCCTTTTGTATTTTTTGAGACAGGGTCTTGCTAACTTCCCATGTTGCCCAAGCAGGCTTGGCTTAAATTTACCAGCCTTCCCAGATCACTGGGATTACAGGTCAAATTTTTTAAAAGAACAAAATTATAGATCTCTAGGTGATGGTAGGCACCCATCTGCTTTCATCTCCTTCCATGGATTCCATAAAAATGATGAGGATTCATTAAAAAATATATCAGAGCCCACCTCGCAAGTATAAGGTCCCGAGTTAGATCCCTGGTACCAAAAAAATAAATAAATAAAAATATACCAGAGCAGGGCATGGTGGTACACACCTATTATTCCAGCTACTAGGGAGGCTGAGGCAGGAGGATTCCAAGCTTGAAGTCAGTTTGGGCAATTTTGTAAGACCTCATCCTCAAAATAAAACATAAAAGGGCTGGGGGGGTGGCACGGTGGTGCATGCTTGGATTAGATTCCCAGGACTGCAAAAACTCAGTCCTCCTGCCTCTGCTACCCAAACAGCTGGGATTCCAGGTGTGCACCACCTCGCCCAGCCTAAAGGCCACTACAAAGGAAACTGCCAGAGGACGCATTCACCAGGAGAATGCACGGACCAGGAGGAGGGGCCAAGATCCAAGGACACAGCTGGTGGAACTGCAGGAAGACGGTGCCTCCATCCCTCAGGCTGCCCTCCAGAAGCCACCACCAGGCTTACTGTGCTGGATACCATTCCCAGTTCTGAGGTCAGGCTTCTGAGATCAGAGGGCCAGCAAGGCAGCAGTGGCATGGGCGAGGCATGGGTTTCTTCCTGGCTTGGGGAGAGGTTGGGGCTGACTGATAACAAGGGGGACAGTCTTTCTAGTGACTTTTTAAAGTTTTATTTTATTTATTTATTTTTTTGGTACCAGGGATCAAACTCGGGTCCTTGCGCTTGCGCAACAGGCGGTGAAACCACTGAGGGAAATCCTTGACCCCAGTGACTCTCTTTTTTAAAGGCCACCAGTCACATCATGACGGCCTCGTTCTTGTGACCTCACCCAGCCCCAATGACCCATTTTCAGATATCAGCACGTTAGAGATGAGGGCTTCAGGATACAAATCTGAGACCGGAAATTCACGCTGTAGTGGGTCCTAAGGACAGGTCCCTGGACAGCAAGCCAGGGGATGAAACTGACAGAACTCCTCAAGTGTCAGAATCGAAGGTCTTAAGATTCGAGGCTGGGAACAATTTGACGTTGAATTAAAAACCAATACATGGGGGGGGGGGCGAGGATTTAGCTCAGTGGTTTCACTGCCTGCTGCGCAAGCGCAAGGACCTGAGTTCGATCCCCGGTACCCAAAAAAACCAAACCAATACATGAAAAACAAAACAAAACTCAAAAATACTATATAACAAAAAAGAAGACAACCATTATTTTGGGATTGGGGATACTACGCCGGATGGAAGGAAAAGTACTGTTTTCTCGGACTTACCTCTGAATATAACACAGGAAACACCAAAGACTAGGGTATAACAACGGGAAAAACGAGACACGCTAAGGGAGCATGTGTCACGAGCAAGAGTGGCACTCTCATCTTCACTGCACAACGGCCGGAAACTGCCTGGCTGGCCTGGGTGTCGCAGTGCACGTCCACAGTGTCCCTGGGCCACACGTGCTCAGAGGTGGCTTTCCCAAGGCGAGGGACTGTGTGGCGGGCGCCGCATTCCTCAGAGGGTTCACCCAGCAAGGAGCTCACAGCCCAGGGTGCAGTGAGGAGGCGGGGAGCAGGGAGTGGGATCCCAGGCAGGGACCAGAAGGCTGCATTCCCGGCCCTTGCTCCCTGCTCCTTGTGCCCTGCTTCCTCGTTACACAGGGTGACCAGCTGTCCTCTGCCAGCCCTGCTACCACGTGGCTTCTAGCAAGAGCCGGCCAACTATGGGCCGGACCCACCAGAACTGTGACCCCAAATACATCTTTACGTCGCACACAGCAACAGTATTCTGTCTCAGGGACAGGAGGGTGACTAATGCAGAGACCCTTGTAACCTTGGCTACCTGGGGAGCTAAGGCAGGAGGATTCCAAGTTTATGGGTTCAATCTCCAGTACAACAAAAGAAAGACGGAAGGAGGAAGGGTGAGAGACATGGAGAGAGACAGAGAAAAGAAAAAAAAGGAGACCAAGTCTAAACCTAAAACAAAAACTCAAAGGATAAAAGGTTTTTTTTGGTACTGGGAACTAAACTCAAGACCTTCTCACTGAACTATGTCTCCGACTATTTTTTTTTTTTTTAATTTTGAGACAGGGTTTTACTACATTGCCTAAGCAAGACTTTAAGTTCTGATCCTCCTGCCTCAGCCTCCCAAATTCGTGTGCCACCATGCCTGGCTAAAAAGCTTCTTTTTTAAATTTAGCTTTCTGGCTCTTGCTTATGTTTTTGAAACTTTCACAATGAATTTCTGGAATCAGGCTTAATCCTGCTACGGACAGATTTAGCACACACAGAACCACCATGTGCCCCGCTGACATTTCTTGTTTTAGACAATCTCATGAGAAAAAGCGCTCCAAGTCAGCCTGGGACACGCCACATGCAGGGTTTGGTACTTTCCCACTTTCTTGGTATCAAGGGGAGGAATCCCACAGCAGCAGCTGGGACAGCCTGCCTTTGCCAGGGGCTGTCTCATAAGCGTCTGCGACACCTGTCGCACACTGTCCACTCCAACTGCCTCCTGAACCGGCCCCAGGCGGCTACACAGGACCCTGTGTGTGCACAGGACCCCATGTTACCCAGGGAGAGGCTCTGGTCTGTGAGCAGGCTCCTGAGGGGCCTGGTGACAGGAGGAAAGCAGCACTTACACCTCTGACAGGGGACCTAGAAGGCCAGGCTCAGGGACCTGGCCTCCTGTACCCATGGCATTCTCACCACGGGTGTGTCCTCCTCACAGGGCACCCTGAGGGGGTACCCTGGGCAGCCCGGTCGAGGACTGCAAGGGCGGACCCTGAATGGGCACAGGAGCCGGGAGTCTGAGTGGACAGGACCTCCTCCTCTAGCCATGGACACCAGGCCTCGGCTGTGACACAGACGTGCGCGGAGATCTCAGAAAGGAGCAAACGTGTCTGCAAGGTGTGCACGCAGCTGCTCTTTAACGGCACCCGGGGCCCTGCTGCACTCACACTGCATCACTTTGACCTCCTTCCCCAGTGGCATCCAGAGTCCTTTCGTGGGCGCGTGAGCCAGGAACTCCCGGGCATGTTCGTTGCCCGGCACATCTGGGATACAGTCTTCTGGCTTGCTCTCATCTTCCTGCAGGGAGGGAGAGCGTGTCAGCAACGCGGTGCCCAGCTTCACTCACCCTGCACTCACCCTGTCACACCAAGAACAGAGAGAGGCAGGAGAGGGCGACATCCGAAACACAGCTACTAGTAGAGCAGTTACTGGTGAAGCACATGTCTGTCCTCACAGGAGGGATCTATGAGCTCCACGTTCTCATGCACATGAGACTCCAGGGCCGGGCACGGTGCACACCTGTCATCTCAGCACTTTGGGAGACTGAGGCAGGAGGATTGCAAGTTTGAGGCCAGCCTGGCCAACTTAGCAACTTAGTGAGACCCTGTCTCAAAAATAAAAAGTAAAAAAGGACTGCAAGGGATGGGGATGTAGCTCAGCGGCACATCACCTGGCTGGCAAGCGGGAGGTCCCGAGTTTGATTCCTGGTACAAGAAAAAAAAAAAAGACTCGAAGATCTAAGGTCAAAGATCAAATCTGTGTGATGTAAGAACTACCACACACAGGTTTTCTGGAACAATGGAGCCGGCAACTTATGTTTCACTAGCTCACTGTGCCTTGAAGGTCACCTTCACGCAGTCATCACTGAGTAACTGCACTTACCGTTCAGGTGTTTCCCCCCACTTTCTGATTTTTTAAAAGTTCCTATGACGATTAAATTTATACTAGAAGAGCTAGCTGGGTATGGTGGCGCACACCTGTAATCTCTACACTCAGGACGCTGAGGCAGGAGGATTGCTGTTCGATTGAGGCCAGGTGTTCCTACATAGTAAATTCAAGGCCAACCTGAACTACATAGCAAGATCCTCTCTCAAAATAACTAAATAAATAAATTTGTACTAAAAGATGATTTTTATAATTTTTTTTCAGTACTAGGAATCGAACTCAGGACCTTGCACTTTCGAGGCAGGTGCTAAATCCAATGAGCTAAATCCCCAGCTAGAATTTTTTTTTTGGGTATGAGGGCTCGAACTCGGGACCTTGTGCTTTCGAGGCAGGCGGCGTAACCACTGAGCTAAATCTCCAGCCCTAGAATCTTTTATTATTGAAAGGTACCTACCTACCAGATGAGGCAGAATTTTTAGCTTTCCTGTGACCACTGATCCTCCCATCAGCAGCCTCTGGAATGGCAACAGCAAGGGTCACTGCCCAGAGGCTGCCATGGGATCCAGGCCCCTCAGAGGCCACTCTCTGGGCAGGGGACCCTCGAGACCTCAGTGTGGTGGCAGACAAAGAAAGGAGATGTGGTGCTCAGCACTGTAGGCCCACATGATGGGCACCGAGGCCCAGCATGGGCCAGCCCTCCCCAGGGCCTCTCTGGCGGCCACAGGCGGAACAGCAGGTCCACAACCCATGCACCCATCTCAGAGCAAGTCACTATGTCTGCAGCGCATAGGGAACAGCCAAGGGTCCCGGCTTCACACTAACCTTGATCAGCCCAGGAGGTGGCTTCTCATAACTGGAAAACAAACACAAACCAAAACTGTCAGCTGTGTTGGTAGGAACATAGTACAGTTCAAAGCATGAAGGGTAACTGCTAGGGTGGAATAAAAAGGATATTCTTATAACTTAAGACTGCTTTAGCATCTGTTAATAACACCGGCTGAGCACTCCCATCCCATGTAAACAAACTGATGGGATGTTCTCTCACGGCCTGCAGAGATCTAGAATTTAAATTCACTGAGTCAGGCACTCGGGCCGGAGATTTAGCTCAGTGGCGCCATGCCTGCCTTGCAAGCATAAGGTCCTGAGTTCCATCCCTAGTACCCCCCCCAAAAAAAGTCAGGTACAGTCCCAGCACAGTGACTTTAACCCAGGAGAAGGAAAAGCAACGAGTGCAGGGAGGTAAGGCAGGAATCCAGCTCCAGGACACCCCAGAGCTCTGTGTGAGGATCCACCCAGCCTCCTGTCCAAGACTCCACAGAGGCCAGGCTCCAGGGAAGGGGTGCCCTGTTGCACCGAAGCTGGGGGAGCCAGAGGAGAGGCCGGGGCAGGTGTCCCAGGACGGGGCCTGCTCCTGCTTGGACCTCCTCCATGCCCTCTGCCATTCTGGGCTCCATAATGTCCCCAAGGCTCATGTGTTCAGGGTGAGTCTCCTGGAGGGTGATGACAATCACTGGATCTGTCCACGGGGAGTGCAGGCTGACTGTGCTGGTGATGACTAAGGGTGTGTTCTCGTACCCAGCTCCTCCTGAGCAGCTTCTCTTCCTAGGCCTGTGCTATGCCATTTCTGCCCTGGAGCCAGCCAACCACAGACTAGCTGTGAGCCAAGATAAACCTCTTCTCTCCAGTTTTGTGTCAGGTGTTTGTCTCTGGGACCCAAGAGTGACTGAGACACCTTCCATGATGACACAAGGTGCCCCGTTCACAGGCCAGTGAGTTCCAGAAGCACCGCAGGACTCCCAGGGCCTGGGAACTGGACCCTGCAACTCAACCCTGTGCTCCTTTCTGCCACTCTGCTGAGACAGCCCAGAGAGGCTGCTAAATTTAATCTGTCTCGAGTTTTTAACACTTCTTTCCCTGGGTAGCAACCACCAGCACAGGCCAACAATGCACTTTCTGAATTAATAACCACAAGGAGTAAAGCGCTGTGCCAGAGCGCGGGCCAGGTAAGAGCTGCGGAGGTCCCAGGCCCAGCGTGGAATCCAAGAATAACTATTGGAGTAACGTGTTTGCCACTGGCGGGAAGAGAAGACAACAGGATACTTCACAGAGCCTGGCTATCGATTTGGTTAAAGGTACCATTCTGGGCCCAGCTTTCCCTAGATTTTCCCTACCACAAACACGGCTCATTTACTTGGTTTGACAGAGAAAGAGGCCGCTAAGGACGCGACTCAGGGGTAGAGCACTAAGGCCCTGGGTTCCACTGGTCGCACCCAAAGTGGGGGTCCTGGGTCCTGAGTTTTGACAGCACCCCACCCCGGCTGGGCGACACTAAGGGGCACATCCGCGCACGGTGCGCAAAGCATCCCAAGGAAAGCAGAGGCCCGACCAGCAGTGGCGAGGGCCCCCGGTGCGCGCCAAGGGACAGGGCCCGGGTCTGCAGTTTTAACCAGAGCTTCGGCGATGACTCATTTCCTCCTCTGGCTTGCTGGTGCTCGAACGCAGCACCCCAAACACTCCTGCGGGAGCCCCGCACCTCCCCGCCCCGGCCGGCACAGGGCTGTCCGGAGCAAGCACCTCGGAACCGCGGCGCTTCGCAAGAGAACCGGGCACGACGCAGGACGTGCTCGGGAAGGGCGCAGCGGCCCTGGCGCCGGGGTCGGGAGGCCGGAGGAGCGCGGCGCCCCGGAGAGGAGCGGGCGCGGTGCCCTCAGCCCCGCCCCCCGCCCCCGGGCTCCCGCGGGCCGCCGCGCTCACAAGTGCTCCAGGTGCCGCAGCTCGCGCAGCTGCTCCGCGTCCCGCCGCCGCCGCTTCTGCTCCCGGCGCCGCCGCAGCTCGTGCTCTGGCTCCCGCGGCCGCCGCGCCGCCCCCGAGCCCGCGCCGCCGGGCCCCGAGCCTGACGACATCGCGGCCCGCGCCCGCCGCGGCCCGAACAGCACCGCCTCCGCGCCTCGCGCACCCCGGCGGAAGGCGGAAGGGGGCGGGGCGGAAGGACCCGGGGGCGGGGCGGGGCGGAAGGACCCGGGGGCGGGGCGGGGCGGGCCGGGAGAGGCGCGGCCTGAGGGAGCTTCCGGGCCGGGAAGGGCGGGGCCCGGCGCGGGGAGAGGGGTCCTGGCTGGCGGCCCGGCGGGGCCCGCGGGGCTTTCCGGGCCCGACGCATGGCGGACGTGGGGGGCGGGGCGGGGCGCGCGCCTGGGCGGAGTCGCTCACCTGCCGGGCCACGCCCGCCTCTGGGCCGCGGCCTCGGATCCGGCGGGTCACGTGGCGACCCCAAGCGCCCCGCTGCTCTGTGCGGACGGGTAGGAGGCTTCCGCTTCGGAATACCTGTGGGAGCCCGGTTCTCCTGAGCACGGGATTCAGAGCTAACCCGCAGTGTCGACTGCGTGGACCAAGGTTTGGGAATTGACTGCATCGTTCTCTCCCAGGGCTGGGATGCCTGGCAGGCAGGCGCTGTGCCACTGAGCTACACCCCTGATCCCTGATTTTACATTTAAAAGCCATGACTGGGGGGCTGGGGATGTGACTGTGGCAGACAGCTTGCCTAGCCAGCGCCGGGCCCTGGGCTCGATCTCCGGGACCAGAATAATTAAATAATAAAAAATAAAATATCTGCTGATGGTACCCTGATTTTATAGTGGGAAGATTAAAGTGGGCTGCCCAGTGACGCGGAACTATTATAGCTCTGAGGCGGGATCCAGAAGTGTCACGACGCGTGTTGAAAATGTATCTGATTGCAGAGTTCTGATAGCTGTTTAACTTTGATTTAATGAAATAATACACCAAGGAAGTGAAGATAACATAATTGCCTCAGATGTGGTATTCACTGTGGTTAATACCTAAACCATATAAGGAGCGTCCTCAAATTTAGGATGGAAACTCCAAGTGGACACAAAAGCCATGAAGAGACTGGTAAAGTTACACTTGGAATCCTTGGAAGAACTTGGGAACCAAGCTTCCCTCTGAGAGGAACTGGCAAGCGAACCAGCCTTTGTGGCAAATTTCCTGAACCAGTAAGTTGCCTGCAAAGACCTTGGACTTGTCTTGGCCCCCTTGTCAAAAATAATTTGGCCTGGGCCGGAGATTTAGCTCAGTGGTTTTGCCGCCTGCTGTGCAAGTGCAAGGACCTGAATTCGATCCCCGGTACCAAAAATAATAATAATAATTTGGCCACATGTACAAGGGCTTACTTTGGGCCCTCTGTACTGTTCCATCTGTCGACATGTCTGTCAATGCCACACTGTTTTGAAAACTGTAGTCTTATAATAAGTTTTTCAATCAGAAAGTGTGATGCTTCTAGCTTTTGTTCTTTGTCAAGATCTGTCAGGCTATTTGGGGTCTCTTGAATTCCCATATGCATTTTAGGGTGGGTTTTACAATTTCTCCACAAAGCTTCATTGGTATTTTGATAGGGATTGCACTAAATCCATAGATAGTTTTTGGTAGAACTGATATCTCACCAATATTAAGCCTTCCAATCTATGAGCATGAGTTGTGTTTCCATTTGGTCTTCCTTAGTTTCTTTCCATATACAAATCTCCTGCCTCCTTGGTTACAACTACTGTATTCCTTAGTATTTTATTCTTTTTGATAACTATTATGAATGGACGTACTTTGGTAATTTCTTTTTCACATTCATCATTGTGAGAGCATAGAAAGAGAACTGAATTTATTAGGGCTGGCTTTGTGTCCTGAGACTGCCAAAGTCCCTGGGTTCCAACAGAGTGGCCCTCGGCGTTTCTGTGGTCTGGTAGGGACAGGCAGCCTTCCTGCACAGGCCTGGGCTCTGTGTGGCCTGAGCGTCCCTCTGGTGGAGGCCGGTCCTGCTTTCTAAGCAGCTCGCCCACCTGTGGGTCAGGGGGGCAGTGTGGCGCCTGCAGGCGGTGAGTGGTTGAACAGCCCAGCTGGCGTCGCCAACCTGCAGTACAGCCTGTTTTCCCCTCTCCTCTCGGTGGTATGGCGGAGCGGCCCAGGGGCTCGGGCCCAGCACGGCAACAGAGGGCCACCGCAAATCCAGTCCAGTTTTCTGATTGTGATGGAGGCCACACAGTAATTTCCCATCTCCTAACCAATGAATCACGCAGGAATTCTTTCCCTGGCGGTTATAATTCAGAAATACTGTTTTTAGCCATCACCCCTTACGCCTACGGCTTCAGAGCTCGGGTCAGGTACAGAGGCAAATGGCAACCCTCTGTCCAGGAGTGCACATGCACCCCACCCAGGCCCAGAGCTGGAAGCACTCTGCACTCCCTCCCGGGGTACCCCCTGCCCATGATCCCCTCAGTCTCTTTTATTCTTCAGCCCCTTTTAAGGTGCAGTTCATTCTTTGTGGTTCTGGGGCTCAGACCCAGGCCTTCGCCTATGCGAAGCACAGACTCTGTCACTGAGCTACACCCCTAGCCCCAGATTTATTTTTGTTTTGTTGGGTTTTTGAAACAGGGTCTTGTTATGTGGTTTGGACTGGCCTTGAACTCATCATGTACCCCACACTAGCCTCAAATTTGAGGTGATCTTCCTGCCTCAGCCTCCTGATTGCTGGAATTACAGGTGTGCACTGCCATGCCTGGCTCCAGGTTTTTAAGGCTTTATTGCCAGCCCAGTGATGGTGCGGCAGGTTAGCAATTCCCAACTGGAAGCAAGACCAGGGTTTCTTCTCCTTGTATTGGTCCCCTTTCATATTCTTTTGTTCTTAAGCTGTATTTTTACGAGCTGTTATTGCACTGATGATCTTTCCCCCACTGGGGAGACAAGGACAGGAAAATAGTGAGTAAAAGAGAAAGAAGAAGGCTGGGGATTTAGCTCAGTGGTTCCACTGCCTGCCCCGCAAGCCCAAAGACCCAAGTTCGAGCTCCGATCCCCCCAAAAAAATAAGGGGGGGGGAGATGATACCCTACTGTATATTAAAGAATCATGGCCAGATTAGAATCGGATTGGTTGTTTTTTTGGTTGGTTGGTTGGTTTCTTTGCTGTTGGATTGAGTTCCTTGTATGTTGTAGAAATTGATCCCGTGTCGATGAAACAGTTTGCATGTATGACGGCTGGTCTAGAAGTTGGCTCTCACTCTGCAGTTTGGTGCCTTAGTTGTGGTTCCCTTCCTTTTCAGTTTGATGGAATCCATTTGACAATTTCTGCTTTGTTTCCAGTGATGGGGGCCCTGTCCTTGACAAACAATCTTTGCCCAGACCAATGGTCCTAAAGGGTTTGTTTTCTTCCACCAGGTTCATATCTTACATTTATGTTTTTAGTCCAGTTTCTAGTTGATTATTTTTTTCCAGTGCGGGGGATCGAACTCAGGACCTTGTGCTTGCCAGCCAGGCAGGGCTCCACTGAGCTCCATCCTTGGCCATAGTTGATTTTTTTGTATATGATGAAAGATAAAGGTCTAGTTTCTTCTGGATATGCATGTCCAGTTTTTAATGGTGTTCTATTAAAGAGACTGTCCTTCATCCAAGGTATGGTCTCGCCTCCTTTGGCAAAAATCAACATAGCTGTAAATACGTGCATTCTTCCTTGTTCCCCCTCCCTTTCTTATGATCTTCCCACCCACCTTTCTTTCATTCCTTCTTCCCTTCCCCTCCCTCCCCCCTCCCTCCCTTCTTTCCTTCCTTTTTCTCCATCCCCCCCTTTCCCGGAGATTGAACCCAGGCCCACACACATTCCAGCAAGCACTCTACCACTGAGATACACCCCAGCCCCCTTTTCTTTTTTTTTTTGGTACTGGGGATCGAACTCAGGACCTTGGACTTAGGGTTAGGGTTCAGTGCCACTGAGTGAAATCCCGGCCCTTCTTTTCTATCTTTTGAGGTGGAGTCTCTACATCTCTCAGGCTAGCCACAAACTCCTGGGCTCAAGAAATCCTCCTGCTTCAGCGACTGCAGCAGCTGGGATTTCAAGCATGGGCATCAGGTCTGGCCACAGAGAAGTTCTTGCTGCTTTTTGGTTGTTCTAAACGCAGAATGCACTGTGGCTGATCTTCAGGGTGCAGGAGGGGTCGTGGGGCCGCTTTTTCTTTTCCTTTGTTGTTTTAGCTTGAAGCTGTGAGTTTACATCAGCTTCTCATCTCTTTCCTTCCTGTTCTCCGGGCTGTAGTCAGCACACCTCACAATAATCTCTTCACCAGAATGAGCTCTAATAGAAACAATGAACATTTCTTGGTTGTTACCTGTAGTTTCTCGTTAAATCCCTGGAATCTAAAATAATAATATCTACAACAGTCTTGTAATTATCAAGTGTTATCTTCATCTTAGGACACTGAAACTTTAACTTACAGAAGGCACCCAACGCCCAAGTAATGGACCGCATTTTTCCTTCAATACATTGACTTCAATTTGTTCATGCTTTATTTAGTATTTTTGCTTTTGTGTTTATAAATTGGTTGGTGCCCGGTTTTCTCTATCTCCCTCTTTCTTTCGCGGTCTTTGCTACGTTTTGGTATCTGGATTATGGTTGTTTCCAAAACGAGTTAAATGAGCCTTGGGGGCTTACTTTTATCATTCCTACGCTTTACTAAACTCTGCAGCCAACTGCGGCCCCGGGTTCACCCACGCCCTGCGCACTCCACCGGGGGTGGGGGGGGGGGCGCTGCAACTCCAACTCGACCACAAGGAAAACAGCTCTAATTTTCGGCCCCGCGGAACCGCGCGCTGCTTCCAACAGAGTCCCGGGACGGGAAATGATTCCGAGGCCTGGCGGAGGAGAGGAGAGAAGAGGGGCGGACGACGCCCCGCCCCTCCCCGCCCCGCCCCGCCCGGGCGCGTGGAGTCCACGTCCCCAGCGAGCCCCAGGCCGATGGCGCTCCCGGCCCTGCGCCGCCCGCCGCCAGCTCTGGCCCTGTTGCTGCTCTGGGTGACCGGGCAGGCGGCGCCCGTGGCGGGGCTGGGCCTGGACCCCGAGTCCGAGCTCCACATCGAGCGGCGCTCCGTGCCCACCGAGTGCCCGCGCGCCGTGCGCCCCGGCGACTTCGTGCGCTACCACTACGTGGGCAGCCTGCGCGACGGCCGCCGCTTCGACGCCAGGTACGGCCCGGCCCGGGCGAGGCGCGTGTGCAGGCGGGGAGCGGCCGCGGGAGCGCGAGTGGCTGCGGGTGCCCGCGGCCCGAGCCCCCCGCGACGAGACGCCGAGGACTGGCGCCCCAGAACCTTGCCTGGCCCGGAACCCTGGCCTGGCGAGCGGCGCGGGGCCCGCTGGGCGCTGGCAGCGCCGGGCTCTTCCTGCACGTTCCGCACGGCCGGGGGAGCAAGCGAGAGCGGAGCTGGGCAGCGGGGCCTTGCAGGCGAGGTAGGCCGCGCCCGCCGAGCTGCACCGCCCGGGTTTCCCACCCCGCCTCTGCTGCAGCCTCTCAGAGCACCGCCTTGCTCTGAGACACCAGCCCTGCGCAGTCCCCCGCGGAGCGGCCGGGCAGAGACCGGGCTAACCCAGCCGCCGCGCAGGCCCTCGCCCCGGGCCTGGGGAAGTCTCTGCCCGCGCCCGCATCCGCCGCCCGCGCCTTTCGCGGCGTTGGGTCTGCAGCCCGTGGGCCCGGGTCTGGCGCTTCTCACCGAGCGAGCGGCGTGCTTGCAGACCTGGTGCTGTCGCGCGTGGCTCCCGCGTTCCGCGTCGTTCACCGGGTGGCGCCTCGGCCTCCGTGCTGAGGGACGTTGTGATGCCCGTTTCCGGAGTGTGTGGGCCGCCCCTGCGGCTGTGTCCCGGAGTGGGCTGACGGTTCGTGGGGAAGCGCCGCAGTGCTCTCCATTCCCTCCAGGGTTGTCCTCGCAGCCCCTGCCCGCCCCGCGCGCTTGGCCGTCCGGCAGGTGTAGGTGGTCTGCTGGCCGACTGCGTCTATCACCTCTCCCTACCATCCGCCTGTTCCTTTGGCTAGCGCACAGAGGCGTCCTTCTGCCCCTGAGGCGGACTGTCGCTCTGGCCTAGCCTGGCCCCCAAGGGAGGCCTGCCTGGAAGGGTTTGCGGCTGTGGTGAGCGATTCCTGCGGTACCCTGGCCCTGCCCACCGGGCGCCGGCGGACAGTGGCGCGGGGTCCCCTCCCCGGGCCGGGGCTGCGGCACCTTGGGATGGAGGCAGCAAGGGCAGGGGCCGCGCAGACCCCCGGCTCCTGCAGGCCTCAGCGGCCCTCGCCCGCATTCACTGGTCTCCAGGGGCCCGCTGAGTCTCACACAGCGAGGAGGGTGGCAGTCAGGCGCGGCAGTGAGGCTCACACCTGCAGGTTCCCGGCCGGCCGCGTGCACGGCCAGGCCGGACAGTTTAAGGCTCCAGCCTTCGGCCTGGACTTCGTGCCAGACGCGGGCGGTGGCCAGGAGACCTGGGCGCAGGGCCGGGCCTGAGGAAGGCGTTTCGGGGAGGAGGAGAGGCGAGTGGGGCGCAGGCACGGGCGGGCGGGAGCCGGCGAGCTGCCTGCTCTCCAGGGCTTGTCAGCAAGCTTTAGTGGACACAGCGCTCCACGGTGGGGGCACAGTGACTGTGAGCTGACGGCGGACTGTGTCCCAGGAGCCAGCGGGTCCCTGCCGAGAGCCTGCGGGGGGAGGCCCTGCGCGGAGGGGCGTACACGCCGCTCGCACACCCTTTGCATCCTGAGCAGAGAGAGACCCAGTGAGGACCAGTGGAGGGGCTTGGGCTTCGGCTGCTCAGCTCGGGGCGCTGCCCGGAGCCGAAGCCACCCTGGGCCACACGGGGCTTCTCTCCTGGAGCCTCCGTCCCGTGCTCTGCCTGGCCCCGGGCAGAGACTGCTTACCCGCCTGATCGCTCTGGCTTTGGTCTCTGTGCCCCCCCGCCCCCCGCTCAGCGTCACCGAGGAACGCTGCTCTGGTCACCTGGGGCGACGTCCAGCCTGTCCTGGTGTTGCCACCCGGGCAGCGTCAGCGTCATCATCAGCTGAGCCCAGGGTGGGTGGGTTAGCATGTGTGGGGGTCAGGGAGTGGTTGGCTGCCCGCCTCCTGCCTTTGCCACGAGGGCTAGTGGCGTCGGGGATGCTATGCCCTGGTGCCCACCCCGCGCCTGTCAGAGCTGCCTGCAACGCTTGGCATACCCGACTTTTGATGCAGTAGCTCTGGATGAGGCCTAAGAATTCGAACTTGTGCAAAGTTCCCAGTTGGTGGTGCTGGGCCGAGGACTATACCTGGGGAAGCCTGGCTCGCACAGAATCTTAGATTAGCAGGGTGTGGGGTATGTCTGTGTAAGCCCAGCTACTTGGGAGGCTGAGGCAGGAGGGTTGCAAGTTTGAGACCAGCCTGGGCAGTTTAGCAAGACCTTGTCTCAAGAAAAAAAAATCATAGACTCATTAGCAGAGGCCAACTTCATTTATGTTCATTCCTTCATTCAACAAACATGTGGTGGCTGACTTCTCGGCGCCGGCTGGGCTGCAGCAGTGAATGACGCAGACAGAAGCCTGCCGTGCGGGAGCTCCCAGTCTTAGGGAGACAGGGGCGCTGGCCGAGCCCAGCCGAGGACCAGAAGCTCCCAAGCCCCGGGGCATTCGGGAGGGGGCGGAAAGCTGTGACCCTCCGCCAGCTCTGGGGTAGGTGAGTGAGTGGGCGTGCAGTGCATCCACGGCATAGGCTCAGTCGCCTCTGCCAGTTCTGAGGGACGCCCTAGGGAACGTTTGTGCGCCGGGGGGGCATATCCATGCGGTCCTGGGGTCAACCCCTAGCACCTAAATGAATAAGTAGAAATATATGTGCAGACTTTTCAGAGCTGGTTAGAAGCCAAGTGTGGTGGTGCACACCTGTAATCCCAGCACACAGGAGGCTGAGGCAGGAGGATTGCTGTGAGTGTAAAGCCAGTCTAAGCTACGTAGTGAGACCCTCAAAACATCAACACAGCAACAGCCATGGCTGGATAGTTCTGTAAAGCTCAAAGGGCGGGGCCCACAGAGTCACTCTCCACGCTCACCCCGAGGGCCACCCTGTGGCCCTGGCCACGTCCCTGCCGCACACTGGGCCCGTGTTGGCCAGCTCTGCACCGCCGCTCCCTCCCAGTCTCCCGGAACTGGCCTTTCCAGGTGGGGGTGGAGCAGGCTTTGGGGGCTTTCCGGAGGAAGTGGGCTCACTTGGACGTTTTTTTCTCTTTGTTTTTTGTGTTTTTGAGACAGGCTCCACGATGTAGCCCAGGCTGGCCTTGAATTTGCAGTCCTCCTGCCTCAGCCTCCCAAGAGTTGGGATTACAGGCCTCGCCACTATCCCTGACTTGTGCCATTTGCTCTTCTAAAAGTCCTTTCTTGCTGCAGAGGCAGTCTGCTTTCAGAGGCAGAGCCACGGGGTTGGCTGTCATGTGTGACTCGTGTGCTCCGGGGGGCAGCTGACAGCTTGGTGGGTTGCATGGGCCAGGTTTTGCGTGGGCCTCCTGACCGAGTGCTGCTTGCGTGGACTTCGTGTGTTGGGGGAGGGTCCTGAGCCTCGAACCGAGGACCTTTGTGCCAAGCCACCTCCCCGGCTCTTTTTTGCTTCTTATTTCAAGATGGGATCTCGCTAAGTTGCCCAGTCTGGGTTCGAATGTGTGATCCTCCTGCCTCAGCCCCCCAAGGTGCCGAGATGTCAGGTGTGCGCCCCCACGCGCAGCTCTGGGGGGCTGACTCTGGAGAGCATCCCTGGAGGGTGCTGTGGGGTGGGCAGGAGCGGGCCAGCGGTGTGAGAAGGATCTGCGGTAGAGGAGGTGCGGGTGCGGGCCGTGCCGGGCGGTTCCGTGGCCTTCCTGTCCCCGCACCAGGTGGTTCTGTGGCCTTCCTGTCCCCGCCTCGTGCTGGCTGCAGGGCTCCAGAGAGGACGCTTGTCTGCTGTGCTGGATGAGCCACGGCGGCGCCGGTGTGGGCAGGTGGGAGGCCGGGGGAGGTGAGGTGCTTGCTCTCCTTGCTTCCCACCTGCAGACTCTCTGCACGGAGCCTCACCAAGGCCCCAGCTCTGCTCCGCTGGCGCTAACAGCGCCCCTAGCCCACCCCAGCGGCACCGCACTGGGCGTCCGCACACCTCGCACCCAGCTCCTTCCCTTTAGGGCTCAGGGTGTGAGTCGTCTGGCTACTTGGGCAAGCTTATTCCTGAGTAAACCTGTTGACGTTATTGTACGTAGGACTGTTTTCTTAATTTCCTGTTCGGCCCATTCAGCGTCAGCACAGAGATGGGACTCATCTGTGTGTGTGTTGGCTTTGTCTCCTGCCAGATTCGTCCATCAGTTCTGTCAGCTTTTTTAGGGGCGCCTTGGGACTGTGTGCATATGCTTTCACCTGTGGACGGCGGTACTTATTTCTGTGGGATCCCTTAAATTTCCTGTTCTTGCCCACTTCCCCTGACCAGGAGTTCCAGGGCTCCCCTGAACAGACGGGCGGAGGTGGGTCAGTGCCCTCTTGCTGACCTCCAGGGCTCTGGGTCTCACCGCCGACTGTGAGCTTGGCCACCCTCGGCCCCTTCTCACTTTCCTGGAACTGCCCAGGTCGCGTGTGGCCTGTGTTTCATCCAGGACCCGGGCTGGGACGGCCGTAAAAAGTATAGACGAGCTGTCGGGACAGGCTGGGTAGGTGCTTAGTCCGGGCTTTGCAAATACAGTTTTCACGACCGGCTCTGGGCTTGGTGCTGCCCGTGAACCGGCGCCAGCTGCCCTGATCAGCATAAATTTCTAAGAGCAACTTCATTTTCCAGATGGTGGGAGTTTTAAGCAGTGGATAAGGCTGGACACTTAGCGTATAAATGCGTACATCTTCTTACAGAAAGGGTTTTTTTGTTTTTAACACCTTCCAGGCAGTCGTCAAATGAGAAATTCATGCTGTGCGGGAGCGATGATCTTTACACACCACTTGGGGGCCTCGAGCCAAGAGCGTAGTGTTTGGCAGTCCGAGGTTCTGGCTTTTTCCCATGTGGCTGTGCGCTTGGGAAATGCTAACCCCTGTCCACGTCACAGGCTGCAGGAGGATTACGCCAGATGGTGTATGTGAAGAGCTCACGTTGCTCCAGGCCTAACACGTAATAAATGTTCTGTAAGAAGCAATTACCATTGAAAACTTTATTAAATTTGAGAGCTGTCGTCGGGTTCTGTAGATGAAGAGAAGTGCCGAACCTCTGAAGAGTGTATATATTTGTATTATTTTTATTTATTTATTTATTTATTTATTTATTTATTTTTTGGTATCGGGAATCGAACTCAGGACCTTGCACTTGTGAAGCAGGTGGAGGGACCACTGAGCTAAATCCCCGGCCCCCTGAAGTGTATATTTTTAAAGTAACTTCCTAGCTGGGCATGATGGTGCATGCCTGTAGTCTAAGCACTCTGGGAGGCTGAGGCAGGAGGATCCAACGTTGGAGCCCAGCTGGGGCAGCTTAGTGACTTAGCAAGACACTGTCTCAAAACAAAAAACCCAAACAAACGAAACAGGAAGCGCTGGGAATGTCGCCCCGAGCTGAGGCCCTGGGTTCGCCTGCAGCACCACTGATGACGGTGGCGGAGGGGTGGGGTGACCGGGATGCTGCCGCCACTTCCTGTGTACGCACAGGTGCTGTCTGCCCGCGTCCTGCCCTCGCCAGCCTTGCAGCCTGCGTTCTGCCGCTTTAGCCCCGCGGGGCTGTGGTGCTGCGTGGCGCAGCGTGGTGAAGCCGAGCGCAGTTGGGCGCTGGCCCAGGTGTCGCACCTGTGCCCTGTGCTCGTGTCTGCTGGCTGGGCCCGGACCTGGGGTCCTGTCCGCTTTCTGCGTGGCCTCGTGGGCAGGAAGGCTGTTAGAACGGCCGGGAGTGGCCGCACCGCGCCCAGGAGTGGCCGCACCGCGCCCAGGAGGAGTGGAGGAGGAGCGTGCGATTAGTGAGAATGAGAGAGAAATCAGGCGCAAGCTGCTGCACCCGCAGACCCACTGGTGATGTGTTCGCAGCTGCCTCTGGAGCTGTTCGTATGTGTCTGTGTGTAGAAACGGACGAGGGGGTTGCTGGGTTACCTGGGGCTCCTGACCTGCACTGACTCCTGTGGGGGGTGAACTTGGGCCATAATATCTATGATGTTGCCTTTAGGTACCAATCACATAGAAAACGGAAGAATCCATGGCTGTTTCATGAAACAAACTGAACTTCATTTTGTCTTACTTTACTTCCGTAGCGAGTAGAGCAGTGCTTACGGAGCCAGATTTGCTAGCTGTGCTCACGGGGGCCTGGAGACCCTGCCCCGCCCTCCTGCCCGGCGGCCTCCCTCGGGTGTGGTCTCCGGCCCGCCCCTGCGGAGGACAGGGCCACTTAGGCTTTCCTCTCTTGCTCGCATCTTCAGCTATGACAGAGACTCCACTTTCAACGCATTTGTGGGCAAAGGGCAGCTGATCTCGGGCATGGACCAGGCCCTGGTCGGGATGTGCGTCAACGAGAGGCGCTTCGTCACGATCCCCCCGAAACTGGCCTACGGAAGCGAGGGAGTCGGTGAGTTTCCACTTGCACTGCCAGAATCTGCAGAGCAGCCAGATGTGTGCAGGCCAGCAGAGGTCTGGAGGAGAGGGACGGACGGCAGTGGGCACAGCCGGGATCTCGTCCTCGGTGTCTCAGAGACGTGAGAGGAGGCGCAGTCAGTCCGAGCGTTAGTGAGAGGAGAGCTGGTTTCCTTCTCTTTTAATGTCGTCAAAGGCAGGGGAAGGGGCACTGGAATTGCATGGCCACTGAAGCCCTTTTGGCTTCCATTTGCATGGGAAGCGTCCTGGGTATTTATTTATCTGGCTCGGAAGGCAGCACTTTCTCAGTGTGAATTCTTTTTCATTTCTAGCCGGCATGATCCCCCCAGACTCTGTGCTCCATTTCGATGTGCTTCTGGTGGACCTGTGGAGCCCTGAGGACCAGGTGCAGATTCACACGTACTTCAAGCCGGCCAGTTGCCCTCGGACCGTCCAGGTGTCTGACTTCGTGCGGTACCACTGCAATGGCACCTTCCTGGACGGCACACTCTTCGACTCCAGGTGGGTCCCGCTGGCAGCCGGGTCTGCAGGGTGCCTTGGCTTCCTTGGCAAGCCTGGTTTTTGTGCTGTGAAGACACCAGGAAAGGGTGCTTCCCACCTTTAACCAGTAGCAAATGCTTTGGAAAACTTGAGTGCCTCACGGGCCATGTCCTGGAGCAACGTTTAATACTCGTGAGGGAAGTCTGAAAGCAGTGCTTGTCTTGCTAACCAGCATTTTGAGGTCTTGTCCTGACTCGAAGGCTCGAGTGAGTGTTGCTTCATTCTTAGGGTTTCCTGTGGAAGGACAAGGGGGAAATGCAGCCCGGGAGCTTAGGGTACACTGGAGATTTCCTGGAAGCATTGTATGTGTGGCTAGTGGAATAGCTGGGCCTTTTCCCTCACTGTGGTATAAGTATCAGCTTTGTGTTTCTCCTTGGCCATGAGGAATTCTCTGTGTGGGGAGCGCAGGCCCAGACCTGCCTGTCCCTGGGGCTGGGTGTGGGCTCGTTCAGCAAAGATTTGGGAGACACAGTCCTTCCCGAGGGATGGGTTGGAAGGAAACACGGGTGTGGACTCCTCCCCTTCTGGTTGGTCCTCAGTCACAATCGCATGAAGACGTATGACACGTACGTGGGGATCGGCTGGCTGATCCCGGGCATGGATGCAGGGCTGCTGGGCATGTGTGTGGGAGAGAGGCGCGTCATCACCATCCCTCCTTTCCTGGCCTATGGCGAAGCTGGCGATGGTGAGTCCTGCCCTCCCCGGGACCCTTTTGTCCCGAGCCCGTCTCTTTACAGAGGTTAATTCGATGTGACCACAGGAAGCCCACCAGGCAGCCCAGTGTGGAGTGGGGGTGCGCACCGGTCACCCCAGCACCCTGGGAGGCTGAGGCAGGAGGCTCACAAGTCGGAGCCCAGCCTGGGCAGCTTGGTGAGACCCTGTCTCAAAAATGAAAAAGGGCTGAGGGGAGCTCAGTTTGAGGGTTCGATCCCCAGTGCTGGGGAAGAAAAGGAGAGGAAGAAAAGGGAAGAGGAGAAGAGGAAACTGAATGTTGTGCAGGCTGTGTCCTGCTCTTACGGCCCACGGAGCAGGAGAGGATTGGACGGAGTGCATGGAGTCAGCATCTCCCTGTTCACCCCCTTTTCCTGTCTTACATGACCGAGAGGCACACAGTGTTGTAAAAGGAAGGTGAGTTGAGAGCCGGGGATGAGCTCAGTGGCGCTGCGCCTGCCTCGCAAGCACAAGGTCCTGAGTTCAGTTCCCAGTACCAAAACAGAAAGAAGGTGAGTCAGTGGAGTGCCCTATTAAAAGAAAAATAAAGTTTGAAAACCACTGCCGCAACCACCCTGTCATGTGTGCGTGCATGTGCGCGTGCACTGCACACTGGGGTCTGAACCGAGGCTTCACACATGCTGAACAAGGGCTTTACCATGGACTGCACCCCCGGCCCACGTACAGTGTCAGCAGTGAGTTGTGTGGGACTCGAATTGTGTCTCAGTCAAGCTGTACAATATTGTACAGCTAGTACACGTTAGGGTCACTTCGAGGACTTTCCTTGTTGCGTGGCTTGTGGCTCAGCCTCCTGTTCGCCCATCTGACCAGCGCAGTGGATGGTGGTCTTCTCAGGAGGAGCTCATTCCCTCTGACGTCGTGGGGAGGACCCTTCTGCAGAAGCACCACCTCCCACAGGCCACAGGCCTGCCGTGCCCCTCGCCTTGGGCTCCAGCGTCTTGCCGCCGCCCCTGTGAATAGCACGCAGCCTAAGGCAGTGGTGGTGAGCCTGTAGCACACTGCCGCAGCTGGCTGTTGGTTACTATTGAAAGCTCTAGAAAGTTCGCCTTCGCTGGTCCAAGGGTTCAGACTGAGGGAGAGGTACAGCCATGCGATACCGGGAGTGCCACATTTCACTTCTGTGGTGCGTCTTACTTACGACATTGGCTTCTGAGGGCTGACGCTATAAATGCATTCGTTAGGGTAGTGCGGGCCCAGCTCTGTCTCGGTGCCTTGTCAGAGTCAGCTTCAGGACCCCTCATGGGTTCCAGAATCCCGCACGAAACCGCAGGGGTGCTTGCGTGCAACCTCCATACCTCCTTCCGTGCACGTGAGATGGCCTGTAACACCTCACACCAGTCCATGCTAAATAAGTGGCTCCAGTGCTGTATTGTTTTACAGAATAATCGCAAGAGAAAGAGGGCCAGGGATTTAGCTCAGTGGTGCTGCCACCTGCCTTGAAAGTGAAAGGTCCCAAGTTCGATCCCTGGGACCAAAAAAAAAAAAAA